TTGTTAATATTTTGCCATCTCATGGCTATCTCATTGTTAATTATATTGACATTTTTGTAGAAGTCATATGTGCTCTCATACTGCACACATGCCTGATCAAAAGACAGTGTACAAGCTGTAGCCTGCCAGTTCTGAAAACCATTGTGCACAAAGCAGGTATTTGATCCACACCCATTGCACACAAGCATATTCTGCCACGTCTGTATTTAATAATTCTGATCCATATTTAATAATTTTGTACTTAATAATTTTGCACTTAATATTTAATTGTATGTTTATAATGTTATGTTAAATATACTATATAGGCACTTTCACAAAACCATTATTTTTCTCTCTAATTAAAAAATGAAACAAAACAAAAAAACAGATGAGAAAACAACAACAAAAATGGGTGTAATAGGTGAATGGTATGAGCTCTTTCTTCATTCCCCATGAAAGTGAAGAAGCAGCCATTTCRCACAGCACACCAAAGATCAGGCTGATGCAGCAAACAGGAATCACAGTCTCAGCCGTGTGGGCATGAAGATTGCATGTAGCATCGGGCTGGTTGTGGGTGCACACTCGCCACCTCATTTACAGCAGGAATGGCAGGATTGCCTCCGAGCCAATTCCAAAGACAATTCCTTGGTTTTCCACTTGCCATCACCCAGAAAGAGAAAAGGCAGGTTATTCTGGCTAACATTAGTCATGAAACCAATCCTGCTAGTTATGTTTTGGGGTGTAACTGCAGAGGTGGGTGATTGCAACATGTGTAGACATACCTGCACAAAGTTCAGCCTGGAAAGCTTGCAAAAATAAGGCCAGCTTTCCAGGCCAGCTATTTATCCACCTCTTCCAGGTCRCAAACCTGATGGAACAAATGGCATAAAACTAATGCTACCAAGCTGTTACAGCTAATATTGCTCTAAATAGTTAGATATACACTAGTGCTACATATCCTACAGCAGTGTGTACAGCCTTCCCAGTATATCTTAGGTGTGACCTCCACCATGTTTTCTGGCCAATATTTTAAGATAGAAATGGAAGCAAGCCATAGCAACCAGAGGAGCAGCCATGCTTCGATGAAACCTCTGTATTAAGCCTGGGCCAGCCTTGAAGGATAATTGAAAAATATGGAGCAGATGGCCACTTGCAAATTATCTGTGTGTAGAGTTTCGCATACAGTTTAAACTGGAATAAACCACTACTACTGCTAAAAAAGAACTCCAGGCTCCATCCCTCTCAGCTCCTTGTGTCAGCCCTTGCTCCTTTCCTGCTTTTGCGCTAGCAGTTGCCTGATGACCTGCATTTTACKCTGAGTAAAAACTGATCTGTTTTCTCTACAGCAGCTTCTCCTGTTCCATGTGCAGCCAAGCAAACACCATGCTGGCAGAAGGTGAGATGGGCAGCACAGCAGGAGGAACAGGGCTCAACAGGCAGGGCAGGGGTGTGCCCGATGCTTTTGGCAGGCAGGATGATTTAAATCGCCTGGACATATACATGAAACTGTATTTTCCATGTTGAAAGCTGGTGAGACGTCATTACAGAACCTGTGATAAGATGTAAAGAGACAATTCATATGAATCCTTTCAACTCTAAAATTGAGTTAAAAGTTGCTAGAGCTGCCTTTATCCTTTGCCAGTTGTTGTGGCTTTACAATAACTTTTGTTAGCTTTTAAATATTTTCTTTTTCTGCCACTTCCWTATAAATTGAAGAAGCCTGAGATTACAATTGAGCTCTCCACAGGTAACTTTTGAGTTTTTCTGTTTAAGTTTGCTGCCTCAAAAAGCAGRGAAAATATACCACCATGTGTTGACTCATTGTTTTACATAGTAGTATGGCCACCTAAGAAACTCCCATTACACTGGTTTCTGATCTTTTCTAGCTGTTTTTAATTTAGTTTCCATGATAATGGAAAAACAACTTGAAAATATCCAGTCTCACTAGTCAGAGGGCAGAAAGAGTATAAGGCCCAAAATACACTCTTAAAACCTTGTTATAATTCCAGCTTCACAGTGTAGCACTGGGGTTGGACAGTCCTTGTGYAGGCTCCTTTGCTTTCTCTCATTTATCCTCTGTTAGAGCAGGTGCAATTACATGTTTTAAACAAGTGGCACATTAACACATTCCCATGTGCAGGCTCTGCACTCTACTCCTGAAGTAGGAAATATTAACCACCCCCTCATTTCTCATGTGCTACTGSAATAGTTTATTTAGGCCCTGCAACCAGAGTCTAAAGTCACATATGGTAAATCCCAGTTCTGCAGATACACAGTCATGGTAAAAATGCCCGGACAAAGCACACTAGGCAAGACACCCCTGAATGCACGTGCTCAGGGAAAATGCCTGTGAAACAAGTGATTTAACATTCAAATAGATTTTTAAATAATTTGACTAATTGGCAACTGCCTCTGACAGGAAAGATAAACACTTTAGTCACAGCATTTAAGAGACTAAAYATATGGCACATCTCCTCCAGAGCAYGAGTTTCATGTGACTTGTGTTTGATATTTATGTCTTCTTTTAAAATGTGGCACCTTTGACTGGAGGCTCACTAGCATATCAGTTCATAAGAAAGCACAAGCACTCTCAGATCAGACAAGAAGTGCCTGAAACTGYAGTATCCAGGGGAAGCCAAAGCATGCTGACCTCCTTCACTGCTTGTCCTGGCAATACTGAATCTGTCAGGTGGACAAAAGGGGGTCACCAGTGCCTGCTTTTTGACTCTCTTACTGTCTTCAAATATTTTCTGCAGAGTGCTTAATATCTTGCTGAACTTTACTCCTATTAAGTTATTAAGGTTCAGTGAAATGTTTTATTTTAAGCACAGAAATGCATACTTGTGCACCACTGTTTTAACTGGTTTTCATCCATCCTTGTGCCAAACTAATATAACATGCGGAAAAGCCTCTGATATCTATTAAATAATTATATTTGATTCCTCAGTAGTGTTCTTCTATGATTCACCTTGACACCATATATCTTTGAGATGTACAAYTAAAGCATATGATTCAATGGGATGCCGCACACCTCTTTGTGAATCATTGGGCTACACAACTGGTTTTGTATGGCAGATCTACACATGCATGTAACAACAGTCAAATATGAGAGATAATGAGGAGCTGCAGTTCTCCAAAGAATGTAAAATCTCATTGTGTAGTCACCAGTAGATGACATGGGCAGTGCAGAGTAAAGCAGTGCTAGGCACTGAATCTTGCRTGATGCTTGTATCAATGTGCTGTGCAGCCACGTGATGTGCTTACCTCAGCAGAAAAATTGTTTGCCCCCCAAGTCTCTTGAGTCACTTTCTTTAAGTGTGACACCAGTAAGCTGTCTTATTCAAACAGTACTAAGCTGATTCTATTTTCAAACGTTTTCTGCAACAGCAGAGTACCACAATGCCATTAAGATGTTTGGATATGAAGGGGTCTGTATGGCTTCAATGGGTGGAGGTGGGTTGTCTCTGTCTCATTCCTGACCTGGGCAGCTGGGGAATATGAACGAGCGATGGGGGGGTGTTGCCAGTCAAGTCCTCCTCTTCTTCCATAGTCCTGAAAGGAAGACTGGCAATGGGACCACACCTGCTCCCTTCCTACTCCTTGGGACCTCCAGACCCCCACCCACAGCAGCTTGGCAATCCCAGGTGGCACCCAGRACTTCAAGATGCTGCATCTTGGGATAATACCATCCCAGCCCTCATGGCCCAAGAACAACAAAGTAGTTGGGTTTTTTTAAGTTACCATCATCTGGTTATATTAGTAAAAAAAATTATCTATACTGCATGTTACAGAAACAGGAACCCGGGACGAAGAAACTTGTGCTTCCAAAGCTGTGACCACAGTAGCACAGCCCTGTGCTGGGACTCCCTCCATCTGCAGTTACCGGGCTGCACTTGCCAACTGGAAATACCCAAGAGAACAGGCCCCGCTTGGTCCAGTGGCTCTTCCCAAGTTTGGCACAGCTGACCAACAAGCAAACAGCCACTCAGCCAGAGGCCATCCTCCCTGGTCAGCCCAAGCCAGRAGRGCCAASTGTGTCCTGGGGTGCATCAGGGCCAGCATTGCCAGCTGGGCAAGGGACGTGATTGTCATAMTCTGCTCTGCACTGGGGTGGCCTCACCTCAAGAACTGTGTGCACTTTTGGGCGCCACAATATGAGAAAGATATAAAAGCCCTTAGAGAGTGTCCAAAGGAGGG